CTAAATGATGAATAAATAATAAAGGCAAGAGCATAACAAGAAAAGAAAAAAGCACAGCTCAGCATGGGTCTTTGACCTTGAAGGAAGAGCCATAATACTTTATTTACATGTTTGTTTATGTGTGGGTGGTGAGAGAGAAAATTTTAGTAGTATATGGGAAGTTGAGGATGGGATTGTCGTCATTTGTGCAAAATCACAGGAATACATCTTATAATTACTGTGTTCCTTCATATGAAAGCAAACTTTGGCACCTGAAACATTTTTAATCTTTGGCTTTTCTAGGTGTGCTGGTCTGTCAGTGTTAAGTGTATGTCTAAAGCTAGCAGAGAGGCATCATAACATACTTAAGTGCCCACTAGACTTCTTTTCTCTTATTTTTCTACCTTGCAAATAAAATGATTGGAAATAATTGTCATTCATCTTGATCCTGCCTGTGAAGGCAGCTTCCAAGTACCTTTTCAAGGTTTTTTTTATCCCACGTTTTTTTAAATAGGCACCTTCCCCGTAGTCAAATAATTTTGACAAGACGTGGATGATTTTGATATTAATTCACATATTCTTTAAATATATATAACTAATACTTAATTTTGAGGCTAGAGATCCACATGTATCTGTACTAGATGCATAAACTTCACAGGTTCTGGTGATCAAGTCAAGGAAAGAGGAGACACCGTAGTTAAGTTTGTTTATTTTTTAGCCAAATGCCATGTGTATGTATAGTATACCCTTGTGAACTGACTTTTTTAGCCAACTAGAAATGTATCTTGGGGGTGTTTTGGTTTCTTGCAAACAGCAGTTCTATAGGTGTGTTTATTTTTTAAAAACTGTATGATACGATACATGTGGATGTTGTGCTCAAGAAATCATGTACTCTGAAAGCATATTATAACCACATCATATTTAAAATGCTTGAAGTAATTCGTTTGGATGGATTGAATCGCTTTTTTTCCCCTGTTTTTTTTTTTTGTTTGTTTGTTTGTTTGTTTGTTTTATCCTTGCTACCATTTGAAATTGCTACTGGTAAATCTCTCCCTCAGAACAAGGAGAAAGCCAGGGGCGAGATCTTCAGCTAGAATAGATCAGTGCAGCTTGTCTCATTTCACAGGAAAACCTTGCCTTTGCCCTGCTGATGATCTTACTCTTGAAGAAATGTACTTCGGCCTCCCTCACTTTGCAGCCTTGTTCCCCTGAGATGCATGTGGAGTTCAGCAGGTCTGTAGCCTGTCTTCCAGCATGCTAACAAGTGTGTGTGTGTGTCTGTGTTCCTTCCCAACTCCCCCTCGCCCCCAACTCCTGGCTATATGGTTATTTTTTCTTTGCCTAACACAGGCTTAGATCGCATCTTTGCTTTAGCAAATAGAATCACAAGGTATTAACACAGAAGCGAGGCAAAGTTTCACCCGTGGGATTCCTCTGCTGGGCAGTGTGGTAGTAGAAGCAGCGTTTCTTTTAGCTTGGAAACTCTCTGGAAGTTAGTTTGGCAGTAGATAAGATAATAGTGCCTAATTTTGTTTTAAAGTAAGCACACCAGATCACAACTCATTTAGTTTTTCATTGGTCAAGCTGCTATAAACTCTGGTTTGAGTTTGTTCAAGTAATGCTGAATACAAACGTGCAAACCTGGGTTTTGGCAAATTATGTCTAATAAAACTGTGAGTGAAAATACTTTCTTACTGTAATAGGTAGGGCACTGAAGATCTGCATCATAAAAATGTCTTTGTTACAGAGCATGTGATGAACTAGGTGGTGTGTACAAACAAGTGGGGGAGGTGTTGGGCTACAGTGATAATTCAAAAAAACCCATATTTTTAGGATAGACTGAAGTTTTTCCTCTTTGGAGTATGAGCTGATATAATTTATCAACTCAAACTCTCCTGTGCAGATCTGGGGAACAGATACTGCCACTGTGGAAGCTAAGATTTCAGATGAAGCCACATGATCTCAGCAGCTAACACATAATGAAAACCACTAAATATTGTGGAGGATTTTGATTATCAATTCTTCAGGACAGTTTCTGGCCATCTGGAATGTTGCTTGCTCAGGACCTTACTGTCTATATGCGATGTTTCTCATGATAAAGAAAAGTTTGAAGATAAGGAAAGATGAATTGTCAAGATCTGTGATGTCTACTATCTAGTTTGCTGTTTCCAAATACTGTAGAGTTACTGTCATAATCTTTTAATGAATAATGTTATTGTTCAAGATCAGCATAAGTCCTCAATGCAATTAATTGATTCTGGAGTAAAAATATTAAATTCAGCATGACTTGAGGATGTGTGTGTGGGAAAAATGCATTGCATATATTTATTGCTGATATTTATCAAGGAATGTTGTTTTTTGACACACAAAATTATTCTTACTATTGTTCTGTAAACCTGCTTCAAGGAAGATATTTATGTGGCAGATTCATTATGAGCATGGTCTTGGTAGGTCCACTTTCTGATTGAATGTGAACTAGAAAAGAATTGTCCCCTTGCTTACTCAATCATGTAGGCCTGTTGCCTGACAGAAAGCAAGAGACGTAGTCCTCGCCTCAAGAGCACGGCAGGACTTTTTTAAAAATAAAAGTACTCTGTAGAATAGTTGGGAATCATTGACCTAAGAAAGAATGAAGCAACCTTTTTGTAAAGGTTATGGAACCTGCTGAATTTGGAACTGCATGCTATTCCAATGCAAATATTGAAGCTCGGTATAATCTTGGAGCACTATGGATGCATGACTATTTTTCAATGTGTGATGCTTTTCAATGTGTGATGCTCTACAAATCAAGTAGAAATGTATTTACATGCTTCTTGGAGTTAGAGACTGCTAGCAAGTGTCCAAAGCAAGTGAGAGAGAGTGTGTCTCTACTTTTGGGACTAAGACTCCTGCTAATAGTGTTGTTAAACCTACTGCCTGTTGGAGTTATCCCAGCTCGTTTTCCACAATTTTGTCGGGCTTTGAAAGTGATGTCACCAAAAGGGGATAAAAGAACTTATTGACACCAATGTGATGTAGAGAAGCAGATGCTCCTTTATTAACAGCCAGGTGCGTAGGAGAGTCGTCTCACCAACAACGCACACCTAACTTGTGTAGCATGCTGATTATATAGGATATAGTAATACATATTAATCAAGTTCTCATACATAAAGGTGATAATTGCAGTAACTCACTTTCTTATTCCCACCTCTTTCCGGTCATGCGTGCTTGAGTCCTAAAATGAGTCTTTGGGCTGCTTTTGCAACCACCACAGACTACTGACCTAAAAGGAAGACCCTCCAGTGCCCTTGACTCAAGGACTTGGGCTCACATTGCGATTTTAACATGCTTCAAGGCCCTTTCACAATGTAACCTTCAGAACACCTGGTCTACAGGGCAATGAATCGTCCTTACCGAACAGTCTAACAGTGGTACCTCGTCATGAGTCTTGTTCTTTGAATAGAAATCTGGTTAATGATTATTACCAGCCTACGTGGCCTTAGCCTGGGACTTTACAAAAGACTTTGTAACAGCATAAGTGGTTGTATGGTTACTCTAAATAATTCCTTATTTAAATCCAAATCACCAAAAAATCATTAAAATCAGCTCAAATTAATAACAAACCAGTAATATTTCTGCCCTTTGAAAGTTTTGAAAATCATTTCAATACTTTCATTACCAGAGTCTATTACATTTCTGTCTCACTGTGCGCTATTGGGAGTCTTGGGATTTCTCTTATTTCATGCACTTGAACACAATTTTTCTTTTAATTTGTTTCTTCAAGCAGGAGTAAATCAACATTATCATCAGAAGATAATCAGCAAGATAATGTGCCAAGTGATAATTTTATCCATGAACTTAAATTCCATCCTAATCCACTAAAATTTTGTCTATCTTTTCTTCTGACATATCTTCTCAGACCTTTTTAGTATCTTCCTTAATTTTTCCTAGTAAGTCTAAGTCATGTTCTACGTCTTGTGTCACATTTGGGATATACATACAGTAATGGTCTACTCTGTTTTTGAGCAAGAGCATGTCTAGTGCAATTCTGTTTTGCAAAGTCATTATTGTAAATTTAATTCCTTAAATCCTTTCCTTGTGACATCTGCCAGTCTTTCTACTTGTCCAGTCAGTCAATACATCCATTCCCTGTTTCTATTTGATGTTGTGGCATTCAAAATGGATTCTAGAGCCCAGCCAATTTTACTCCCATTGAGAGTTCATTCCATATTTCATCTGTCTCTGATGTTTTAACTCACTTTAATTTTAAATTTCCTAAGGATCCTTTAAGAGGAGATTTCTTCCGAATTGGGCAAAACGTTGGCATACCTAATTTAATCTGGTTTAGTTTTCTATCCAAGGGCAGATGGGTTGTCCATGTTCCATTACTCATTGCCCAAACTAAATGTCTTGGACTCTGAATTGTAGATTTTCTGCAGCTAAATATTATTTTTCTTTTCGGTTTTGCGCAAGTTTTAATCGTTGCCGGGATCAGGGACCACGTGGCCGTTGCCCCTCCCCCACCCGCACCGGTCAGGCTGGAAGTTAGACACAGACCCCGGCTAAAATAACAAGAAATTTAATACAACAGAGTGATAGAACAATCTGAATAACAACAGTATCAATGGTAACAACAGTAAACAGCAATAACAGTGAACAAGACAAACGATATGCAGAGAAATACCTCTAGCTGGTCACGGAAAGCCAAATTCCCTCCCGTACCAACCAAGGAGCAAGGAAAAGGGTTCCGCCCACCGGACCTGACCTCAGCATGGTATGAATAACCCGGCTGGAGATCCCTTCCCCCTCTCTCTCTGCTGGGGAAAACTTTACTCTGTCCTGGCTGAACCAGGACATAATCCACCCCTTTATTCTATACCATCTGCGTCATGTCCAGCTGCCATTTAGCAGTTAACAATAACAAAGTAATAATTTACACAGGCACAGCAGGGGGGAAAAGCAATGCTGGAAGTCCAGCAATTTCCAAAATTCCCAGTCGCTGGGAGAAGTGAGGAGCTGGGTGGGGCCCGATGGCAAGCTCATTAGGAGATGACATAACGGACACGGCCCATGCCCTGAATTTCTCTCACTCTGTGGCAGTGGCGTAGGACAGTGATGATGGCGTGGAAACGCTTGTCCACTTTCAGTTGGGTGAACTCACCAATATCGGCTTCCACCACAAAAAAAGTACCTTTTGAGTCTGCAGTTTCGTTCTCCAGGAACCTGTAGTAGAGTTTCCTCGCTGCTGCTTTCAAAGATCTCAAAGGCTGATGCAGGATCTTGTACTTGTCTGCCACAGCCTTGTTTATACCTTTAACAACTGCATTAATCTGATCACAGGTTAAACGACCTTTCATATATGCAGGAAGACTTTCAATTTCTTCTGCAGTTATTAGGGATGCTTCGTTAATAAGTCTTGACTCTTTTGTAGGTTTCTCTGCAGGTTTGGGTTCTACAACTTCTGGTTGTGCTTCACGTTTCACAGTGAGCCCAGCGACCCAGCTCTGTGTTGGTTTTAGCAGACAGCAAGGAATATTTTCAATGAGGTGCCTTGCTTCCATTGCTTGGCTCTCTGCAGACTTCTGGAGCTCTTTTAGCAAATCATTCAGTTCTTTGTGATCCTTAACTTGTTTCCATTTTATTCAGGAGATCATTCACAAGAAGTATCTCGTGCTTTATTTCACCGAGCATGGATTTGAAGGATGGTTCTTCACCTGCATTTCTTAACTGAAGAGTCCTTTTAACATTTGAAATCTTTGTGTTGACTAGCCAGGTGGCCTTTGCTAGATGCATGTCCCAGTCTTTGAAGGTCCCACCTCCCAGTGCTTTCAATGTGGTTTTTAACAGTCCATTGTAGCGCTCGATCTTCCCAGAGGCTGGTGCGTGGTAGGGGATATGGTAGACCCACTCGATGCCGTGTTCTTCTGCCCAGGCATTTGAGGTTGTTTCGGAAGTGGGTCCCGTTGTCTGACTCAATTCTCTCTGGGGTGCCGTGTCGCCACAGGACTTGGGTCTCAAGGCCCAGGATGGTGTTCTGGGCGGTGGCGTGGGGCGCTGGGTAAGCTTCCAGCCACCCAGTGGTTACTTCCACCATTGCGAGCAAGTGGCGCTTCCTGCGGCGGGTCTGTGGCAGTGTGATGTAGTCGATCTGCCAGGCCTCTCCATATCTATATTTCAGCCATCGCTCTCCATTTCACTGGGACTTCACCCGCTTGGCATGTTTGATTGCAGCGCACATCTCGCACACCCAACAGATTGCTCTATAACACTCTGGTCAGGGTCTGTCCCTTTTTATTCTTATTCCAATGCCCCACGTTGGGCGCCAAGTAATAATGTGCAAGTTTTAATTGTTGCTGGGATCAGGGACCACGTGGCCGTTGCCCCTCCCCCACCCACGCCAGTTGGGCTGGAAGTTAGACACAGACCCCGGCTGAAATAACAAGAAATTTAATACAACAGAGTGATAGAACAATCTGAATAACAACAGTATCAATGGTAACAACAATAAACAGCAATAACAGTGAACAAGACAAACGATATGCAGAGAAATACCGCTAGCTGGTCACGGAAAGCCAAATTCCCTCCCGTACCAACCAAGGAGCAAGGAAAAGGGTTCCGCCCACCGGACCTGACCTCAGCATGGTATGAATAACCCGGCTGGAGATCCCTTCCCCCTCTCTCTCTGCTGGGGAAAACTTTACTCTGTCCTGGCTGAACCAGGACAGGTTTATAGGTTTCAGTTAAATTAAGACTGTTTTTAAGACCTTGGCAAAGACACCCATGTCTTAAGGCATCAGCCAAAGGAGGAATTCTCTGAATTATTAGGTCTACATTGCTCCAGTCATATACCTCCTCACATTTCCACCAAGATATTAAATTTTCCTTTTCTCCGTGTGCTTCTTTTGTCCCACCCTTGATAAAAATTGTCCCATCCTAAGTAAAATACCATGGAATTCTAGCCATATACTGAAACTGAGAAAATATAGACATGGACCATACAGAATTCCACTGCGCCGCCTCTTTTGTAGTCTGATTTGTTTTGTCACACTTCCATGATGTTTCTACTTCCATTGTTTCTAATTTCTTCACCATAAGAACGCCACCCAACAGATCAATATCTTCCTATTTTTGTGAAAACACAATTTAACAAATGTTCACAATCTGCTTTATTTCACCGAGCATGGATTTGAAGGATGGTTCTTCACCTGCATTTCTTAACTGAAGAGTCCTTTTAACATTTGAAATCTTTGTGTTGACTAGCCAGGTGGCCTTTGCTAGATGCATGTCCCAGTCTTTGAAGGTCCCACCTCCCAGTGCTTTCAATGTGGTTTTTAACAGTCCATTGTAGCGCTCGATCTTCCCAGAGGCTGGTGCCTGGTAGGGGTTATGGTAGACCCACTCGAT